CTTGTTTTAAGGCAAGATCCACCGAAGATTTAGCTCTATAACAAAGTTTCTCCTAAGACATCATCAACTATCTATAAGAAAGAGAAGAAGAAGAAAAATAAATAGTAAATCTAACTTCAAACTTATAGAAACTTACTTTAGAACCTTCATAATAGACGTAAAATCTCATATCTGGTGAGAAATCTAAGTTTAAGAGGGTTTAGTATGAGAGAAAATGGTGGTATATGGCCTTGGGTCTCTCTAGAACCTTTGAAAAGTGTAAAGAAATGAAAATTTCATGTAAGACCTCTTATTTATAGGCAAAATTTTGAAAAAAAAAAATTTGATACTGTTCACAGCAACTTATTGTTCATACCAGATTTATTGTTCACTTTTTTTTTAATAAAAAATTTCAAACTCCATCTAAATCTATTTCAATACCAAATAATCTTTTAATTAACATTTAACAATTACAAAATATTACAGATTACTCAATAATAAATTACAAGCTTGACAAATTCTATTATGAACAAGATTTATATGTATGAAGTTTTAAATTTTGCTCATTTTCATTGATTCAGATTTTACATACACAAAAATCTTTGCTATATTTATTTATCTTTTACTGATTTTAATCACATCATATTGATGTTTTTATATTTAAATAAGGAAATTATTTAAATAAATAAGAGATGTTACACCCCAAAGTGAACAATTTTCTGAGCTTAGTGTATGCTCGTGGATTAACCCACCTGAGGTGTTGACCTGGATAATTACCTTGCATAGCGTATTCTACTCAAAGGGGAATTTGTTGTTTTACGGGCCTTACTTTGGTAGCTTTGATAGCTTGTTTTCTTTTTGAGCTATATCTTGTCTTATAATATGTTTTAATGCATTCATGTTTTGTCTTGTTAGAGAATTTTTCTATGAATAATTATTCTGCATCCATTGAGATCTTAACTAGAAATGGAAACAAGATTTAAACATATCTTTGGGAATTAATGTGGAGAGCTTACCTAAAGAAAAGAAGCATTTGGATCAGTGGGAGAGATCTAAAATGTTGAGCTTAATCGCTATCAAGAGAACTATCTCTGAATATCTTTTAAGTGGTCTTCCAAAGAAGGGAATAGCTAAAAAGTTCTTCATTACTTTGAGAGAAAGGTAGCAAGTATCTAGTAACATTGAGTCCGAATGTCTAGTAAAATAGTTAACAGATATGATATATCACAATCTTGGGGGAGTAAGGAAGTTCATTATGAAGATGGTTCACATTTAAGCCAAGCAAAAATATCACCAAATTGACTTTAATGAAAAAAGCATTATCGAACATACCTTAAATTGCCTACTTGCTGATTTTTCCCAAATCAAAACTATCCATAATACCCTTGGTGCAAAATGGAGTGTGAATAACCTTATTACTAAGTGTAATGCTAAGGAAGAGAAACTTAAGAAAGAAAAGAGTGACATAACCCTTTTATCTATCCATGACAAACCTATTTCTGGCAAAGAAAGCTGAAAAAACACAAATAGCTATTCTAATGCTTATAGATATCGAGTTCAAGAAAACTAGGTAAGAAACGATATCACAATGTAGGAGGACCTAAGCCTCTTCAAGAAGAAGATTTGGTGCTTTTATTGTAAAAGAAAAAGACATAAGAATTTTAATTATGAAAAGTTCAAGGTTGGGCTCGAAAACAATAACAAATCTAGAGGTAATTGTTTAGCTCTTGTCTATTATGAATCTAATCTAATTGATGTTCCTATAGACTCTATGTGAATTGATAGTGGTTCCACAACTCAAATTATTGTATCTTTGCAGGAGTTCAAAAATCCAAGGACAAGCAAGCTTAGGTAGGAAATGATCTTGAAGTTCTAGTAGAGAAAGTAGAAGATGTTAGTTTAGTTTTAAGTTTTGGATTTGATTTGATTTTGTATAATACCTGTTATGTACCCTCTTTTAGGAGAAATTTGATTTCTGTTTCTTGTTTGGATAAACTTGGTTTTAATTTCACTTTTAGAGATAAGAAAATAAGTTTGATGTTAAACTCTCACATTATTGGTTTATGGTTTTCTAGTTGATGATTCATATAAATTGTGTTTAGCTTCTAATAATATTTTTTTCATCTTTAGTTGTTAAGAATTTTGTTGCTAAAAGATCTAAGGTTAAGGAAAAATCCTTAATGTTGTGGCACAAGCATCTGTGTCATATTTTTAAATAAAGGGTTAAGAAATTGACAAAGACAAATATTTTACCCTTGTTAAATTTTGATAATTTGGGAACTTGTTTAAGTTGTATTAGGGAAAAGTGTACTAAGACAAAAACAAAAGGTGCAATTAGGAGTACAAACCTTTTAGAGATCGTTCACATCGACATTTCTGGGCTCACTAGTGGAGAAAAGGCTTTTTACATCAGTTAAAAGAGGCATTTTACATTGGTTCCGTATCCGATGTAGATATAGGCGATGTAAAAAGTTCAGGACTTTTTACATTGGTTGTTAAAAACTGATGTAAAAAGTGTCACTTTCTATATCAGTTGTTTATAATAACCAATGTAAAAAATGTTCTTAATATTCATCTTCGTCAATGACGTCAGTATTTCTCTTCTCTAAGAGTTTTAATGTTCGCGTCAATATTATCAATATATTTTCTTAAGTTAAATTAAAATCCATAAACGTCAATGTTTATGGTATTCATCGTGTTCTTCAAGTTCTTCAAGTTCATGGTGTTTTTTGTGTTAATTATATTCATCGTGTTTGTTGTGTTCGTTGTGTTTATTATGTTCATCATGTTTCATTATTGTTTGAATCAGAAACATAAAGAAGATGCAACGTTCATCAAATCGTTTAATAAGGAAGAAGAAAAAACAAAAAGTGAAACAATAAAAAAATGAAAGAAATTAAAATAATTGATGTACCTGCAAAACCTTTGTAAGTTCGTTGTCCACCTAGCTAACAGAACAGAAGTTTCAAAAACATAAGAAAATTTTGTGTTCGAGTTTCTAATTTATGCTATTTTGCTGACGCGTATTTGAAAATTTAAAATTTGAATTGATTTTACGTCGGTCATGTACATTTTACATCGGTTATTTTTACAACCAATGTAAAAAGTACTTTTCACATTGGTTCTTTTGACAACCGGTATAGAAAAGTTTGCAAAAATTTTAAAAATGCCACCGCATCTATTTTTACCTCGTTTCACAAAATACTGATGTAAAATCTTGTTGTAAAAAGTATTTTTTATACTAGTGGCTCTAATTTCTACAATTTGTGGTAAAATGTATTTCATTATATTTATTAATGATTTTTTTTATATAGATATCTCTATTTAATTGAAAAAAAGGTCTGAAGCACTTGAAAATTCAAAATATTTAAGACTAAAATAGAAAATAATTAGAAAAATTGATCAAGATTGTAAAATCTTACCGTGATGGAGAGTATTTTGGTAAATATGGTGTTACAGGGCAACATATATGACAATTTGCTTTATACTTGCAAGATTATGGAATAGTTTAATAATACACCCTGCCTAAGAGTCCTGAACAAAATGATATTGCCAAAAGGCGTAATAGGACACTCAAAGATATAGTGAGAAGTATAATGAGTAAATGTAACTTGCTAGAATTTTTGTGGGATTCAGAGAGTCCTTTACATCCTTAATAAAGTTCCTAGTAAATCTATTGTCAGAACACTTTTTGAACTTTGGACAGGAAGAAAGCCAAGTTTAAATCTTCTTCGAGTCTAAGGCTGTTCAACTGAGGAAAAAAAATTTATAATCAATTGTAAAGAAAGACAAACCCTATGACAAATTGTTGCTTTTTCATTGGATTTCCAAATTGCGCTAAAGGATACATGTTCTTCTTTTCTGGTAAGGAGAGCAAAATAATATAGTCCATAAATGCTAAATGTCTAGAGCTTGATGTAGGAGATCACGTTATAACACAAAAACATGTAATTTTTGCATATTGGATATCATTAAATTAAATTATTTTAAAAAGATAATTAAATATATATCACATGACTATTTTTAAATTTAATATTTTTTATAAATTTAAAAGAGTAAATATTATAATTATTAATAATTAAATATATTATATTAAATAAATTTACAAAATTTTAATTAATATTAAATTAAAAATAAGTATATAGTGTAGAAAAAATAATTAATAAAATATTATAATTATTTCTTAAAAACGTTTTTGTTTAAAAATACTCCTAAAAACACAAATATTTTAAAATAAAAATCTAAAAACACTTAAATACACAATTTATATATAAGTTGATTTATACATAGAAGTTGATTATATCTAGTCTCATTAAAATTATATTTGTGTTACATATAATTATTTTAATAAAAATTAATTTTGATAAGTATCCAAATGTACAGTTATATCCGTGTGTATTAGATCTAAGTGTGTTTGACAAAATATAGTACCTATAATTGCTTTGTCATTGCAAATACTAAATATTCATTTTGGTGTTGATGATAAAAACATAAACGATCTCATTTGTTGTCTCGATCAAAGTTGCCTCATGAATTAGGTCAATGACTGCAGGGCATATGAATCATTTGATCACCTTTGCAGGCAAGAATTTTACGATGCACTGATGAGCCAGTTGCTAGATATGTAAATTGTAGAATTTACTTGGTCTAACGTGTGTGATTTGCTTGGATTGCACATATAATTTTGCATTAACTAGTCTACTTTTGAAGGTAAGCTTAGGTGCAAATGATTTGGCAGCAAAATAGCAAAGGATGACCTCATTGCCAAGCAAATCTCCATGCTGACATGCAATGCACATCATGAAAATGGTGAAAAGAGACTTCCACTTTAATTAAAGCCAAAATGATTGCTTTCATACTCTTTCTCACTTCATAAATTTACCTATTTTAGTTATTCTTGCCATCAATACTTTTTTAGCCTTTTCATCTTGGTTGAAATCAGGATCATTGTTGCATTGCAATATCCAAAGCTTTTAATTAGCTATTCACCATATTAAGGGCTAATCAGAATTTCTTATCATCAACAAATATAGCAAATCCAATCACAATGCAAGGACTTACAAATTTTCTTCATCAAAAGTTATTCAATTCCATCCCCTTGAGCAAAAAGAAGAGGGGGAAAAGATGGGTGCATGAATTGAGTAAAAGGAACAAGGAAAATTAGTCACCTTCACCTAACCTTAGACAGGATGACAAATAACAACCATAAACGAAGGAATGAAAACCTAATTCATGTATCCACCTACATCTTCTCATCAACTGTTAATATACAGTAAGAGGGTTTTCCCTGCTAAATACTCAACTTTTTCTTTGTTATCACAGCTCCTGTGCACTATTAGGCCAAAGAGTAGGATTCTGCTCATGAATAATTGCTACGGCGATGGAGAAAGATTGTAGGGCAGACAAGCTTGGTAGAAAATGGATAAAATATAAACCATCATGAACGTTCACCATCCTCAAGGTTGGGCTAAAATTGCTTGAACCCTGAAATTATAGGGGTATGATCATCTCATTGCATACAAAATTGCCACTCGCTAACCAAACATAGATAGTACATATACAAGACTAAATGGTTGCAGTCTAAAACTTAAGAAGGGAAAAAACCAGCACCAGAAATTCAAGTGTCACAAACAGATTACAGAATTATTACATTTAAAGTCTTGGTGACAATCAAACAAATCAAGTGATGAACAGTCATTTCCGTATTTATTCACAACAACACATTCGCAAAAGCACAAATTCATTATAATATATTCCCTACCCAGTATTTTGTGCAGAAACAGAGAAAAAGACACTTCTAGTAGTATCAAATTCTTAGAGTTCCCAACTAACACTGCAATTCAAAGAGTATAGGGGAAATAATTAAATTTAAATACGCTAATAGTTTAAAGATTTTTTACACTGTCATACAGTCATGGATTGTCACATAAAAAAGAATTACTTTTTTAAATAATTAATATAAAATTATATCTATGGTATATTCTAATGAGTTAACAGTGTAAAAAATTTTACAATTTAAACATACAGTACACCAAAATTAAACTCATAGGGAAAGTAACCACAAATCTATGGGATATTAACATACCTGAGTAACTAAATCAACTGACTTGCATTTGCCTTGCATATCTGCTTGAGAGTACAGAACCTCCTCATTGCTAGATCTTCTCTGAAAAACTGTCAAGGGACATCCCTCATCCCAACCACCACAATCACAGCTACCCCCAGATCTCCATCTATCTACAAGACTAGATGGACCTCCATGTTTGGTAGTTGGTCCACCATGAAGGCCTGCAGGAATGAGAAAGCTCATACTAGTTGAGCAATCACCAGTATTTTGACTACAACTACAACTTTCAGAAGGCAGTGTAGTTTGATTGACTCCAGCTTTGTTAAGAAATTTTAAGCCCCATCCTCCAACTTTATCCAAGCTATGAATTGGAAGATGGTGTTTGACAACAATAGCAGCCAACTCAAAATTTGAAGGGACATTAGTTCCTAAGAAATCGGTCACGCCTAGACCACATGACTGTGGCTCCAATGGACAACTTTCTCTTGTGGCTTTTGGTCTACTGAACTTTGAGGATGTTATGTATTTTGATGAAGGACTAGTTCTGAACACTTTTGACACACTCTTAGACATGCCCTTGTTCTTCATGATGAGAGAATGGCTTGAGGTGTACATTTCTTTGTCATAAATTTTAATGTTACCAAATAATGTAAACTGTGTTTCCATTACTCTATAATTGTCAGGGCATAGGGTGAAACATGTTGATACATTCATCTTACCAACAAGTTGCAAATCACGGTCTGGAATCTCACGGCCCTTTTGGCCACCCTTGTTCAAGTAAATCAGGTACACATAGTGCAAAGCTTCATCATCTGCTGCGTAAACCTTGCTCAATTTGGTTATATAGACCTCCTTATGATCATCTGCTGAAAAAACAAAATGAGGAACACCTTGCTTCCAAGTGCACTGAAGCATTCCTTGATGAAGACAATTAATGTTAGTGCTGGAAGTAGAGGTAATCCTTTTATGAACAGAAATGGAACCATACTCATGACTTTGCACCATTGGTGTTTCCATTTCTGGTTTACATGATGAAGAGATACTAAAACCACTAGGGGAATCCATAAAATCATAGCATATCATGTTTTTAGCATCAGTGAAGTTCATGTTCAAATTGTCATTTCTTTCTGAAGCACCAAATTGAAGAAGCAAAGGACTATTCAATATATTTATCATACTCTTAGTCTTCATTAATGTACCTAAAGTCCAATTCTTTGCATCATTAGTGCTTACAACTAAATTCTCAGTCACTGCAGCTACATGATGTCCTATGACCAACTGACCAGAACCACATTCAGCACCATCAATAACTTCAACAGAGTTCAAGCTTTCTGTTGAAGTCCACCTGTTTTTGGTTCCTAAGCTCACTGGTTTCTTGTGTTGTGAAGCTTTCAATGCATTAATCTGTAAAAATTCCAGGCAACGGCGAAGATATGTCTCATCTGAGCATGCCATAAGCTTTGGAATCTTATAGTGTCCATGAACAAATAGGGGAAATAAATCCTTTGGAAAAACATTACCATTCTGTGATTGGTTAAAATTTTCCATTTTAGCCAACTTTTTTAACTGTAATGCTGAAGATTCTACAGATAATGGATCCTTTTTACCATGATCCCTTTTCTCAACCCAGAATCGTGTATTTTCCATCTTCTTCCTCTACCAAACTACTGTGCATTCACTGAAGGAACCCTTCTTTACATTAATCTTCATTCAACAAGAAACTAAGCATTACAAAATCAGTGTCCTGAAAAAGGAAAAAAAAAAACAGAAATTTGAAAGGTAAGATAACAAAAGAAAGAGCTTGCAAAGCCAAAAATTTCGAAAATAGCAGTTTCAAATAAAGTCTTCTACAGTTTTACGTATCATGAATCATTACAGCATGGCACACAACTTTCATACATTTAAAATAAATATAAAAGAAGCAAAGAGATATGTAAACAAAGCAATTTGCCATCCATATAAATGAGCATGATCAATATACAACAATAATCAAACCTTATCTCAGCAAGTGAGATTCGCTACATGCATCACATGACACCGTTGATCAAAGAAAAGAATTTGCAGACTAAATTGCATGCATATGTCTATATAAGTTATTTAAGAAAATTTGCTGGGTTACCTAAAAGCAACACATAACTCTCCACTCTATGATAAAAACCAAATAACCTTTACACCAATAATGTGGCATCTTACTATCTTAAATCCGGAAAAAGAAGGCCCATCAACATTTTAAAACAGAAATTAAATGAAACAACTCGCAAAGTGTTCAATCAAAAAACAAAGATATTCAATACAGAAAGCAGAAAATATGAAGATGGAAAAAAATTTTGAAGTTAAAACTATACATTAAAGATCAACTTCATATTACCATATAAGAGCCATGATCATGACCCCCTCAATCAAATTCACTGATTCTTTACACACCAACACTCATCAAAATGGAAAAAGGAGTGCTAACGAACCCAAATGGAGAGAGACTAAGAAAACCAAGTCAGCAAATAGTGGGAAACAAAATATCAACACCCAAAAACCACAAGAAATGGTTATAATATAAATTATACTATATGGTTTTACAATTTTCAAAAATGAAAAAGTGTAACTGTATTAGACATGGACATGATTCTAGGTAGAGTCGGAGGAAAAAGAAAAAGAAAAACTAACTAAACTAAGTAACTAACCAGGCTAAGGTAGTGGCAAAATGGAGGTATGAACATGGGTTTCGTAAGCCACGTTTCTTGGTTGAAAAATTGTACACTCTAGTTTTGAGTAGAGGACAAATGCACACCTAAAAATGAGGGTTCTTTGTAGGACCCATTTCTTTCTTGTTACATATGCCTCGGCAAGCAAGTCTTGTCACAGTGCCCAAAACCATTCCAAGATGGGAACGAGGGAATTCAATAAAGAGAGCAAGGCCAGAATCAAGATCAGAGTTCATTTATGTTACTTGAATAAGAATATATATATATATATATATATATGGAAGATTTCTAAAATAATAATAATAATTTCTACTAAATTATTAGTTGTTTAAATTTCGTAATACAAGATAATATTTTTTTCATTAAATAAGGACGTTACGTTTTGTACATCATGAATACGGACATTGTTTGCACTTTACACATACCAGAAGAACTTAAATTTTACTAACTTAGAATTACCTAATTATCAAACGGACCAAATTACCTATGTACTTAACTAATTACTTGAATTAATCACGAAATTGTGATAAATTCCTTGTAAATTTAATAGTTATATATAAAAGCATCTTCTAAATATATATCTCTAGATATTAGTAAATAATTAATTGGAAATAACAAAGTGATAGAATTAATTTGAAAATTATGAGAATTGTGAGCATTCCAAATAGGAAATGGATGAATGAATAAGGAGATGGTGACCATGATGGGTACGTGAACGTGACTCCACTAAGGCCAAAGCAGGTGCCACTTGAAGACTTTAAACTGATGCCATTTTTTTTCACCCAAATTAATGAATTAATTGATCTTCTTATTTTGATGGCATGTGAAAGAGAGAATAAGCAATTGAGCAGATTCTGAGGAACATATATACCTTTGAGGAACCAACATTGACCCCAGCATAGTGCATTATTCTGCCGTTCCACCTCGTGCACAGAGGGTATATTCGTTATTCTTCTTTCTTTGCAGATGATTTATTTATTATTGCCTTCAGAAATTAGTTTCAAAAACAGATTATTAAATTACAAATGTATATAATTTTTTCTAACCTTCTCTTTGGTCAATTTTAATTATCACTTTGTAATTAAAATTAAATATATTTTTAATTTTCATAAAATTAACTTTTAGTCTGTATACTTTTTTTTCTTGTTTTAATCTATATTTAATAAAAAAATATTTCAAATTAATTTATTTATCACTTAATTCCTTTTAATCGCTATTTTAGCAAATAAAATTTTACGTTATCATACTGTTTAAAAAAAATAAAATTTCGTTCCCGTGAAATTATCAAATTTCACTAGGTCCTTGTGAAAATGTAAATTCCATTTTAGTTTCTGCTTAATTTAAACATAAAATATTTATTATAAATAAATTTTAAAAATATATAAATAAAGTAAATACTAAAAATCAATAAATGTAAAAAGATAATAAAAAATAATATTTTTAAAAATATATGAAAATTAAAACATATATCATCTAACAAATTTAGTAAAATAAATGTCAGTTTATCATTCAATCAACTTAAATTGGATAGGATATATTAAAAGTTGAAAATTTATCATTACTTACAATAAATGAGTGTTTATTTGAAATGACAGTTATATAAACTTAAAATTATTATTTAGAAAGGGACTAAATTATACATTTAAGTTATATCTATTATTAAATTATTTAATTATATTTTATTGTATAATTTAATTCTAAAATTAACTATTAGATTAAAAATTTTAATTACATATATTATGTCTACGAAAGTTTAAATTTTTTTTATAGAGTAAAATTAACATAATATGTACTCTTAGAATAGAAATAATTCGATTGTTTTTTTTTTAATAGTTGTTCAATTTTGACAAAACTTAACTCAAATAATCAAGCTAATCAACCTCTATGTTATAAATGAAAGTACTTTAGTTATAAAGCGAAACATTTAATAAAATTATATATCTTTTAATATCAACTTATATATTTTTTTAAATTATTTTTATTTAACTTATTTGAAACTTATATCTTTTAATAAGTTATTTTTAACTAAATAAAATTTTATTATTTTTTATATTATTTTGTTTCTTTTCTAAAGATTTGTTCACGAGATCATCTCACTTCTTCTCCTTTTAAATCAAATACTAAAAATTAAACAAAGGAAGCAGGGATGCGCTGCTAAGAAAAAGCTTATAAATGATTTTATACCAAAGTGTTTTTTGAAATGCGAACAAATTTTCAATTTTTGACCTATACGAGTGTGTTAAAGTAATAAATAGAAAAAAGTTTATAACTTTATTCAATCTTTTGAGATCGTAAAAAGATTTCAAGTGTTGCATGTGAGTGAAATTTCGCTGTCTATGATTCGATTATTATTTGGTGAGAAGGGCCCAACAAAGAACATGAACTGGAGTCATCGAAGCTGAGACTGCGAAATATGAGTGCATGATTGCTGTCCTATTGACAAGGTCCTTGTTTCATGTTGCAGCCATAATATTACAAACAATTAATGTCAAACGTACTATTCTATATATATATATATATATATATATATATATATATATATATATAATTTAAATAAATAATTCTTTTTATTTTAAATTTTGTAAATTTAAAATTTTTACTAATCCTTCTTTTTCTCTGGACATGCCAATTTAAATATCATATTTTAGTCGAAATATAACAAATAATTTAAACATTTTATTCTTGAAATTAAATTTCACATTTTAAAAAAACTCCAAATATTATAAAATATTCAATAATTTTTTTTTACTTTTAAACATTAAAATTGTTTTATAATGATTTTATTATAAATCTCTGAAATATTCAAATGAAAAATAACAATTTCAAGCTTTTAAGTGTTAAGAGTATATTTGGCAAAATATTTTATTTATCCAAAAGCTTTTTTGTTATATAAAAACTTGTTTAATAAAAAATAAAATTGTTTAGTAACAAAACTAGTTGAAATTAGTAGATACAAGCCTTTGTTGCTACTCATACTCGTATATTTTTTTCAACTTCTAGTTGAAAGAAGTTTTGTTATTTTTATTCTATTATTTTTAAATAATTTCTTCTTTATTTATTTAATTTCTTAGAACTTACATTTTTACTTTTGTTATTTTAAAAAGGAAGAAAATATGTTACAAATAATAAAATAAATAAATAAATAAATAAATATCACATAACATTCATTATTTATAAAACTAATTACTAAAGTCTTGAAAAGGATATAATAAAGTCATTAAATCTATTTTTATGACAAAATAATTATATGATAAATGATTCAAATAAATAAAAAAGAATTTAATAAAGTCATTGAAAACGATATACTTATCATTCTATTAAAGATGATAAATAATTTTAAATAAATTGAAATATAAAAATATATTAGTTTAAAAGCTATTTTTACCAAACACTTTTAATTCAATTAACTAAAATCTATCAAACTTTCAGCAGAATTTTTAGCTTACAACTAGCTTATCTATACTAAAGACATCCTAAGTAAAATAAAATTAATAAAGGAACCAAATTTACATTTTTTTTCCTAAACTATATTTATCCTTCATAAGATACCATAAGTAAAATTAGCCTAACAAGCTAGTTTTATAAAAAAAAAAATCACTTGTTCAATCAACTAATTTTTCATCTTTAATTTCTTTTAAGCTTATAGCTAGCTTATTCGTTAATTTACCGAACATATACCCTACTTTAAGTGTGATAAAATTAATGAAGGAATTGAATTTCTACATTTTTTCGATCACATGTATCTATTACAAGAAACACCTAAAAATGATAAATTAACTTGAAATAATTTTATGCTGGTTAATCTATAAACTAATAGTAATTTTTTACAATTTTAAAAATATGAAAACTTAATTATTCAAAATTGCTTTAAAAAAATTCAAAATTACTTATAAATTAAAGTAAAGAAAACAAAAATATAATTAAACTTTTTTCTTAACTACTCTTCAGTCACTATTGAAGCAAGTAGTGTGCTGTTGCAATTTTGCTGGAATATGAGTATTTTCCCCCATTTATTAAATTCTGGAACGTATACTATAAATCTATAACTAATTCAAGTCGAAGTTGGTAAACTAATTTAAAATATATGAGCTTCTATTAAATAGATAAAAGAAATGTAATAAAATCTTACGCTATTACACTAAAGCTTCAAATTATTCTTTAGGGTTTATAGTTTATCATTAATTTGGTATATACAGTTGTTTGGGATAAGAAAAATTTTCTAAGTTAAAAATTATCTTGAAGGAAACTACATTTCAACAAGTTTTGAGGGTCAAGAAGGAGCCAAAGATAAGCCTGAACATAAGAGAATATTGGAAGATCTTTGGCTTTAATTAAAAGGAACACATTTCGAGCTATTTTAGGAGATTTTTGTCACATTGTTGATTTTTCTCTAAACTGCTTGAAAGACAAGAAAATATTCTAAGACCACAAAACTAAAGGTTTTTTCGAGAAGTTTTGAGCAGTTTTAAGTCACTAACACCCAAAACTATTCGAAAAATAAAACTGGCAAGAAAATATTCCAAGTCATGGTTTTTCGAGGAGTTTTCAAGTCCCTGACACCCAAAACTGCTCGAAAAACAGGACTAACAGGAAAATATTCTAAGTCCACAAAAACTGATGGCTTTTCGAGGAATATTTGAGGAGTTTTCAAGTACTTGACACCCAAAACTGCTCGAAAAGCAGGAAGTGGTAAGAAAATATTCTAAGTCCACAAACTTGGCTGAGCTCCAGATTTCCTCCAGAATTGCTCGAAAAATAAGAAGTGGTCAGAAAATATTCTAAGTCCACAAATCTGGTCGAGCTCCGGAGTCCCTCCAGAATTGATTGAAAAACAGAAATGAGTAAAATGTTCTAAGTCCACAAGATCAAGACAGACTCTCAAAACTCTAGGATGGCTCGAAAAGAGAAGTCAAGAAGAAACTATTCTAAGGCCATAACATTAAAAAAGTCTCCTAGGTTTCTCTCAGAAATACTTGAAAGATAAGAGTATTGAAAAATCTAAAAGCGGGTTACCAGTAGTTATCAACATTCACCACTACGCAAAGGAGATAATGAGCGATAGCGGTTACAGCCCCAACAAATAGCACGATCACAAGCAATCGTGGATAGTGAGCATCAACAGTTGAAGTCAGTTACTAAGAAGTTCCCGCAAAAGGAGGAGAACGGTGGTGATCTTCATGTCTATAAATACTCCAAAGCACTATTTCACGGGGGACGACTTTTTGCACCCAGACACCGCACCTAAACTCTCTGAGATGTTGAAATCCTGCACCGCGCCAGACACCAGCTACAAGGAGACCCACGGTGGCCGCTGTCCGCCGTTGTGAGGAGTCGTACGTTTACATTTCAGCATATTGACATTCCTGTACCTTTACATTCTGCATTTTAATTTCAAGTTTCTTCATTTACTTTTGTTCTTGTTTATGCAATTCATTTCTTATTTCATACTTTCTGTAATGAACATCTACGTTTGAGTCAATTCTGTACGTTTAATATTCACAATTCTTGCTAAATTGCTGAATTTACGCGTCCATTTCACCGTTACGTTAACAACACACTTAAAAGAGCCCAAAGAGGACCTAAATCCAGTCCCCAGATTGATCTTTGGATTATTTGTTTACAACTGTCATTTTTCACCGTAAACAACAGTAAAAAAAAGGTATATATATAAAAGCTTTTGTCATGAGATTAAAAAATAAAGTTATCAATATTAAACAAAAATAATCTATTATACACTGTAAAATGTTTAGATATTTTCTTATAATAAAAATGCCAAAGGACATCACTAATTTAATTACTAGTCCAGTTGAACTTTGATTAAACCTCTTTATAACAATCATCCTTATAATCCTTATTTAAATTATGTAGAATTAATTTTTTAAATAATTTAATATATGAATCCTAGCATCCATCTTTTACCTATATATGTGGATGCTTGTGTGATTGAATGATTGGAATCTTAAAAAATTAAGTTTTCTCTAAAATAATTATTTATTGATCATTATTGAATTATTCTATTATTTGGTGTAGCTATTTATTTTATTATTTTATAACAATATAATAATATCAATAATCAATAAATAAGTTTAATTATTTTTAGAGAAACTTAATTTTTAGAGAAGAGTATTCTTAACAATAATTATATTTTAATTACTGATATGACCATACTAATATTTTATTTGATTGTTTAATTTTTTTTACTACCAATTGTTTTATATTTTCTGTTGAGAGAAATACTTTAAAAATAAAAACTTTAGCGATTAGAAAATTAAAATGAATTTCTTTATTCCGGAAACTATAGCTTAATTTTCTTTATCTTATTTTAGTCAATCAAATTATACAAATTATTATACTTAAATAGATTGCGTTAGTTGCTATTTAATTATGAAATCTATTTAATTTTTCAAGTATAAGTATGAAAATTATTTTAATTATCAAAATGCTTTAGGAAATAAAATGATTTTTTTAAATGGAATATCTCCTAGTTAGTGAGTGGTAGTTGATTGAGAAAAAAACACTCCTATTTTTTCTTATAGTGCATGTTCCATGAGCTCTATCTCATGTGCCATATTTTAATTTTTACTTATGAGAGAATAATTGTAATATGTGCCTTGTCATATGTCATGTACAAAAGGCAAATGATGTGAAAGTAGACCAATAATAGAAAACCATGCAAATGGCTTCCTCTTCTCCATAAATTAATAGCCAATCAAGATATACATGCATGCATTCTTACACTTCCATTTTCCATGAACTCTATCTAACTAATACTCTCTTCTTGAATTCAAATTTTATTGTTTTAAATTTGGGAGAGTTCATCCATCTTCTTTTCTCCTAATTGCTATGCCTCTCTCTCAGGGGGAATTTAATTACATTACACTGGTGAAAATTAATCACTGTTTGAGAAAAGCTAATAATTGTGTAGATTTTCAAAGGACTAATTGAATGTTAAACTCATCTTTATATAATTTATTAATTTAATATGTAGAGGAATAATGAAATGATAAGTATCTCTTTGAAGGAAAAAATATGTACCCATTTTACTTAATTTATATGGTAATCTTTTATTATTTTGTTTTGAAACTTTTAACGTATGAAAGGGACATTTAAGATGACAAAATTCTTTCCACATTTATTTATTTTTTATTTTTGCAACTCAAATCGCTATCTTATTTAAAAATAATCAAACTCCTTGCCATTTATATGAATTTGTCATATGAAAATCTGTTTTTTTAGTAGGAGCTAGTTTTAGTTGATAAAATAGAAAATTCCATGCTAAATAATCATTTTTCTTACGAACTAAAAGGATTTGACGACTAAGCCATCTTAAAAATATGATAAATATATTTTGTTAGTGAATGAAGTATTCTAAAAGTTTGGGCGAGAATTTTGACAAATATTCAAAAAGTTATCGAAATAGAAGTATAACGGTTTTCATATCAATTGTGGACCGCTTCTTTAGAGTAGTCTATATATATATATATATATATATATATATATATATAAAGAGGGAGAGAGAGAGATATCTATTGCCAACAGGTTAGTCAAATTTTTACTTGATCCACTTTATCATTACTATAGGGTTTATGATTTACCATTAGTTTAGTTTACATAAAATTACATAAAAGCGTTTGCAATGAATATCCAAATCAGATTCACGCCACCCTAGTTCAAATAAACCAACAAAATCCCTACATCTTGGATTTTAATCTTTAAATTTAACACTTTCTATTAATTTTAGTCTTTTGCATTATAAAAAAATATATATACAAACCGTTGGTGATTAACGACATTTATCATATACTGTTATTAATTAACAAAGGTTTGACTAACCGCGACGAATATTAAAATTACCTGCGATTGTTTAAAATCGTCGGTAATCTGTTCGTCACACTTAAATTAACTACAATTTTATGAATCGTGGATAACATTATTTACGACAGTTTAAACCCTCATTAAACCATTGTAGTGCTTTAACTCTAATAATTATTAATCAATTTAAAACTTATTTATCTTAGCATTGAAAAAATATTTTTTGTACCCTTTAATTAAAAACACAATTATATACGCATTATGATTATATTCAATAACTTAAATAGATTCTGTTTAAATTAATTTTATTCAATTTTAAACCAACCCAGCACTTATTCAATTAAAGAATGTAAAATACTTAAAAGCGAGTTCCTAAATATATATATATATATATATATATATATATATAAAGATAAGTCATTCTTTGGGGGCAACTGGAATATTTGATTTGGTTAATACAACTTAATGTTCTGTTACAAGTTACAACGTAATGAAAAATACAATATCTGCAAAAATGTATACAGTTTCTAATTTCTGTATGTTCCTAACTCTCTTATTGGTATATTATTTGGACTCCAATTATTCAGTTTCCTCAAAGCATTAAACCCGGGATTGATGGAAAAGAGCCCTGCCAAAATTAATCTACAGAAGCTAAATATAGATTATGCTAATAGTCAAACTAATAATTCAAATCAAGGACTGGATGGAATAGTTGCATTTGAAGGAGTTCACCCCACTTATATGGGCAAAGATATCTGAGGAATCAACCATATCATCATCTTCTTTCACAATTATCTGCAAGTACAAAATGGGAGGAATATATGATTAAGGAATTATGCCATCAAATAATTGGAAAGGTAAAAGTGATAGGGAATTTTTTTTAATTCATATATTTTATTTCTTATACTTTGGCAAGTTGAACAACAATATCCAATTATATGTGCCAAGGGAATCTTACTTCTTCATCATCATCTTCATGATTGCTACTAGCTTGTCTATGGCTCTCTCCAAAGTCATCATTCTTTGCAAACCTTCCTCTAACCCGGGGTCTACTATCTGCCAAAGTTTTGCGGCATGCATACTGCAATTTTTCAATTCCAATTTGCACCATTAGTTCAATTTTGAAAATATGCATAACACATGGTTAATGAAATACATTGGAATCCATGTATGACAGATTTTTTTGGTAACATAATGTATTGGAATCCATGTATAACATAATAAGATTTCAAATTTTATTGTTGATGTTGCTATTCAGATAAAGTACCTTGATTTTCTTGCTGAAATTTCTTTCATTTCTCTTCTTCATGTATCTATGAATCTTTTCTTTCCTTTGCTCAACAGAAAGTTTTCCAACCTTTAAGGTAGAGTCCTCCAAGTGACAGATTTCTGGTGCCAAAGTGGCAGAACTCCCAGCCCCACATACCAGTTTCTGGCTCTCACCACCAAGTGCCTGAGAGAGAAATTGCAATTATACATCAATTTCTTATTCAACAAAAAGATGAAAGATGTTAGCCCACTCAATTTTCAAAAGCTGCACATTAACTTTTATTAGAGACTGTAGAAAAAGATATAACACAGACTGTTTATTATCTTTTGTTTTTTTCTTTGGTTGAAAGTGGTTATTCCTTCTTGCTAGGCCAAATTACTTTTTAATGTAGGTGACTTAATAAAATGACTCAGTCATGGGGCACCTATGAGTTTTTAGCTTAGATAGAGATTTGTGGACCCTGATCTTTCCCCAGAAGTCCACTTCTGAAAAAGCCATTTCTTAGTTATAAGAGCTTCACTGCTGCAACCTTAGTAAACTTTGAAGCATCAATAAATTTCTTCGGCCATCGAGTATTTCCTAATTCTCAACACGTTGAACATTGGGACTGAAAAAACTTTCACTTGGTTTATTGAACTGAAGCTCAAAGCAATCAAGAAAAACTTAATTAAGCAGTTTGGAAAATTGCACACACCTGAAGGTCTGGTGGGTTAAACACCCTCTGAATTGAATCTGTACAATAAATTCTAACATTTTCTCCTTGGTAGTCCAATTCTTGTGTCTGCAGTTCAGACCCCAGTAGAATGTTGCCACCAAACAAACCAGAACCATCCGCAGATAAAGCAGTGTTAAGGGGCCCTTGAGGCATGTACACTCCTATGCCAGGACTTAGATAAGAGCAAGAAGGAGATGAAGGATTAAGAGGCACATAAGAAGGGATGGAAGATATGCAATCATCTTCAAAAACAGATGGTAATGGAGCCCCAGCAAGGGGTGCAACAATAGGGTCAGTGTGATACTGAGAGAGGCCCTTCAAAACTGAACTACTTGTTGCTGATAGTTGCACCACTTGTGGCTGAGCTGAAGAGAAATCAAAGTGTTCCTGTTGAATTGTGATTGGGAGAAGAGGGGGAACCACGAAAGCTGGAGATGATGAGAAGTCTATGGAGGCTGAGATGTCATTGTCAATTTCTTCTTGGGAGTCAAAGATAATAGACAAGTTAGTACTGTTTGTTGTGTCGTTGTTGTTGTTGGTGTTGGTTGCTGTAGTACTAGATGGGGTGGTGACTATATTGTTGTTGTTACTATTGATCTTATTGTTGTCTACATCTAAAGTTGGAGATAGGTTTGTGGCATATGAGGAAATCTCTTCATGGCAACAATTGGAGCTGGAGGTAACCTCAGAATTTGGCAGTGTCTCTGGGAAGAATTCAGAGTCACATAGTTCGAAAATTCGAGCACTGATCGGGCTTGAAATCTCATCCTGCAGTGAAAGGCATATAAGAAATGTAAACAACATGTTTACCAAAAACTACTAAACACTAGACTGAGAATAATTTTAGCAAGGCCCCTTCTTTATAAAACAAACTAGGAAACGTGATTCTTTATAATTTTTATTGATTTTGATTATGGGTTTGAAAACTGAATCCAATTCCTCTTTTTGTTGATAGACATGAGTCTGATCTGATCACTTAGAACAGAAAAGAAATTCAAAAGCTAATATTCTCTTAATCAATTGAAACTTTGGCTTGAAGATGTAGTGGGCATTCAAAAGAGAAAGACATGCCAAATGATATAACAGTATCTGCCACAATAGCACTCCTTTTTCAAGATGAAAATGATATAAATCAATGTGCAAAGGCCCCTACATGGCACCCTACATATGACTCTGGTTGGTTGCATAGTCTAGTCAGGTTTTGTCCATATTTGGTAATAAACTGAAAAGAAATTTTCCAAAAGGCTTGGCATTTTTGGGTTATTTAATTATGAAAGAGATGTGCATCTATGCCTTCATGTGACAGGTAGGAGCCATGGTACCCAATGTTAGTATGAAATACAAGCATGTAAAAACAAAGAAGGAACCTCATGCTATGTTATTTGTGTTCAGTAAGTGGAAATTGTCCTTCAATGGGAATTGAAAGCCACTTGAAGGAACCCCCATAATGCTATATATGCTATCCATGTGAATTGTTGTCAATAAGACCCTTCTTCCTATCTAACTGAATAAAGAATATCAAAATTAGCAAAGCTTACACAAGAAGCCCAAAGAGATATATATTCCACAAGAACCGAAAGCTATGTTTAAATGACTATCACGGAAACGTTACATCATATTACAGTTTTGCCCTTGGAAAATGACATTTTGGTGGCAAGGCCATTGTCTTGGACTGGATAATAATATCAAAAAGAGCAAAGCCTCACTCTCACGGAGTCTTTGATTCCTTCTCATTGTTCAGTCAATAAATTACATTATGCTCTCCAACCATATAAATAGAGCAAAGAAAACGTTCTGTCCTACAAATTGCAAGTGAAGCCTTCACGGAAAAGAATGTGAATATGGCTTCTGGTTTTTCTATGATAGCTATTAGTGCTACTGGCAGCTTCCAGTTAATTCCGGGAATATCTCCAATATGGGAAATATTATTCAGACTTCTCAACTCATTCACAAATTAAGGTGAAATTAATTAACAAGCAACAAACATTAACAAACCATATTCATTAATTATTGGAAAGAATTAAAATGCAGGATTAATTAGTTAGAGAAATTAATTAATTTCCAGAAATATTAAGAAATAATGCGCCCCCCAAGAGAAAAGCAATTTTTTCACACCTTGGTGTATACACACCCTCCAAACTCCAAAGGGTGCAAAGTCATCATTTTTTAAAGGAGGAACAACCCATTTTCCATACAAACTTGTAAAGTTCCACACAATCACACTCAACTCAAAAGGAAACCATTTAACCAAGGTGATCATAGATATTGCATGCATGACACAAAGATATGTATGTGGCTTAGTTCCAACACATGCATTAACATTAAAGTATATGATTAAGATATGTATATATATAACAAGTTGAAGCTTGAGGGCATTACAATGGAGAGTTGTTCAGGCGGTGTTGGAGGGTGGATAACATCTTGCAACATGGTGATTGGTGATCAAATCCTCTTTGGCTTTGAAAGAAGGTAAATAAGTGTATATGAAATGAAAGGTATGTATATAACAAACAAACACACACTTGGAAGTGTAATTTGGTGTTGTGACACCTCAACTGGAAAAACAAGTCTGGTGGGGTGACTAAAAAGAATGCATGCTTACAAAATGAAGCCTTAAAAGATGCGTTTTATTTAGAAAAGAAAAAAGAGACAAAGAAAGAAAGTTGTAGGGAAAGAGAGAATGGGAAATGGATATAGAAAGAGAGATAGAGAGAGAGAGAGAGAGAGTGGAGAGTATGAGGGTGTCAAAAACAGAGAAAATTAGTTATGTTCATATATAGGGGGGATGAGGTTGTACGTAGAGCCGTCAAGTGTGGCACTCGCGGGCGTCAACGCGAGAGTGGCGTTGGGCCATTCATTCACTACTTTGGTGGGGTACACTTCCATTCATTTCAATTCAATTCTACGTATTATATAATTATATTATTATAGCCCTATTGACATGGGGCTTATTTATTTATTTTAATGTTTTTTAAAAAATAATTTTTTAAAATAATGTTTTTTAAAAACATATTCCCTGTCCAAGGTTTTTTTTTTAGCATCACACAATATACATAGTGTAATTTCAATATACATAATATATTTGTAATTGTTAATTAAAAATTATATAATTTTTTTATTTTTAAATTTTATAATTTTTTATTTTTAATAAATTTTAATTAGATATTAAAATATAATTTTTTTCTTTTTTTTAACCACTTTCGTAAATTGATCCAGCTAATGATACATGGCGCAATTCTGTGAGTCTCGTCTCTCTGCAGTAGGCAAAACTCACCAGATGATGACACATGGCGCAGTCTGATAGTTTCGTCTCTACTGAAGACAAAATAGTATTTAAAAAATTAAAAAAATATATTTTGTCAAAACAGTATGCGAAACAAGTCTTGACTTGACAAAAAAAACTCCAGACAAGGAATATGTTTTAAAAAACATTATTTTAAGAATTTATTTTTTAAAAACATTAAAAAAATAAATAAGCCATTGACATGGCAACTGGGTTGGCCAACCCTTTCTTTTTTTTTTCTTTTTCTTTTTAATCACTATTAAATCCTATCCCAATTCCAGTATGATAATTTATGATTAAGTTATAGAATAAAAAATATTTGTATTATCAGTGAATTTTAATAAAATTTTAATAAATAAACTATTTTTAAAATAATTTATTATTTGAATTTTTTTATATTAAATAAGTCATTTTACTAAACTATAAATAAACAAAAATTATTTATATATCTTTCAATGCATAAAGAACTTAACATTCTATATATTTTAAAAAATAAATTAATGTTAAAGGTAATTATCTTATAATCTATACCATAAGAGGTAAGTATTTTTTATACTTGAGCCACATGCTAATAGCATATATATATATATATATATTATGATTTGATTCATATAATTATCTATTGAAAAAAATATCAAATCTAATAAAGTATTTTATAATTTTAATCCCATAAAAAAATAAAAGAGTTTGTACTGTATAATTTTATGTTGTTCTCTTTTATTTATATAAATATCATCTAAATAAACAAAAATTTTATGACGATGAGTATCATATATACTTTTATTATATTTAACATATATAACAAGAAGTTATACCATATAAAGTTGTTGTATATTTTTAATAGTCTGTTTTCTAATAAACAAAATGTAAAATTGGTCTAAAAATGAAAGAAAAAGTTAAAAAATTAAAATATAGAATATCAAGCAACATATAAATGAAATAAATAAAATTTTAATAAACCATAAATTAAGTAACAAATACATAAAATTAAAAATTTGAAAAACACGAATAAATGTCATGTATGTGATAGTAGAGGATATGGTAATTATTATTTTTTATTTATAATAAAATATTATTAAATAAATATTTTTTAACATTAATATATGATATATTAATATTTGATAGTATATTTATAACTTCATAAAATTTACTATAATACATCTTACTTTTGTGTATTCTTTTTTTTTTGTATATACAATTAAACTTAATATACATTTTTTTATAAAAAAAAAAACACAAGATAAAAGGAATATAAGCTAAAATAGCTCAATTGATTAGAGTATGTGATCCTTAACCACAATGTTGGAGGTTCTAGCCTATCTTAGGGCTACATGGGTAAGTGTTTATTTGGGAATTAATGATGTGGCATATTTTAAGTTTACATTTATAGTTTGATTTTGATTAATAAACACTTTTCATATGTTTTTATTTTTATAGTTTTTACCATTTTCTACAAATAAATGCTTTAATTTCGTATTTTTAGTTATTCTGACCTTTGACAACTCTTTTGGCTATAACTTTTTCTACAGATATAATTTTTGGATGATTCTAGTTGCATTGGATTCTACACATCCAGGGTTTCAAAATGCATATATGGATCACTAGATTTGGAGTTGTTTTCGATTTTTTATGATTTTTTAAAACCTTATTTGCATTCTTTAAAACAAAACCTAAAATTAAATTTGACTGAACATGTGTCTTCGTGAATCGACCTAGGTTTGGCTCTATACTGCAAAACCTTTAGAAAACTTAGTTGTTTTGATAACGACTCGGCATCATCTATCAATCAATCATAAAATTTATCTTTATTTAATGAAGTCATAGAAAAATAAAAACTAGACTTTATTTTAACCTTAAATTACTTAACTATGTAACTTAGACTTCAATTAACCTTAGCATCTAATAGGAACTTAAATTTTGATTTAGCTAAGCTTTAAAGGGAACCAAGCCCTACCTTATTTGTAACACCCTCTTTTATTTATTTATTGGTTAGTAAATTGTTTTAAATATTGGGTAATGTTAGAATATGTTTTGAATTAAATTGATGAATGTTTAATAGAGTTCTGGTGTAGGGAGTATTGCTTAGGCAAGACATCTCACTTAAGTGAGTTTGAGCGTCCAGAATTACATGATTTTAGAGTAATCTCGCTCAAGCTAGACATGATAAACTTGACCCAACTGTCCTCTTGCCTAGGCGGGAAGTGATCTTGCTCAAGCGAGTAGAAATCTTGCCCAAGCAAGATGAGTTGCTCAAGCGACAACTCATGGAAAAAATGGCCAACTCTTTGGACGTCTTCTCGCTTCGGTGAGAATGACACTTGCTCAAGTGAAAATATTAGAAAAAGCTTAGAATGACTACGGTTTGGTGTTCTCACCCAAGCGAGAATCACCTGACTCAAGTGATCACATGCGATATTTGAGTGTATTTAAGGGATTTTCAGCATAAAAATTTCATTACATTTCATTTTTACGTTCCCTCTTCATTCTTTCTAAACTTCCAATTCCTTTCCTCAGATAAAACATTTTCAAACTCCGATCGTTGCTCTAATCCGAAGTTAGACGTTAATCTAAGCGGCTCCAAGTAAGTTTCTTTGAGTTTGATTTTATATTTTCTGTTTGTTTCTCTTCATATTCCATTTCTCAAGGGTATCTCATGATATCTAGGAAAACATCTGTTGTTGAGCAATAATCTTCATCAATCTCTCTAAATCATCGTCTCGAGGTAAGAAGGACTCTATTTTGTCATTACAACATAGTATATGTATTCACACACACACACACACATATTGTGCTTTGGAGAGTGATATTATGTTTTCTTGTATATGAATATATGATCGAATGTTGTTTGAGTATTGTGAATATTGATGATGTATACTGGTTGATTGAAATGTTTGTATCATATTTTTGTGAAATACGTAATAAGGAGTTAGTTTGGACATGTCATGAGAAAGCATGATACTTTAGTTGAAATTATATGATTGTGATAAAAGGTTAATGATATTGATCTGCATGACTTGATAATTTAAACTTTGTGGTAGTATTATGAGTGATATGGACTTAGTCTAGAAGTGCTTTACTAAGCACAATTTTGTGGTTAGATAGTGAGAGAAGTATAAGATGAGTATAAAGTGATGAGCGACATTCGCGTATGTGTGATGTAACATCCTCAATTTTGTTGCCCTTGTATGAAAAAATAGGAATTTAGGTGCAAGATTTCTTCTCAAGCGAGATAGGTCTCACTTAAGTGATATTGAGTTTTTTAAAGAGGGCGTTTTGAAGCATTCTCGCTTAAGCGAGGTGAATCTTGCTCAAGTGAGATAGGATAAGGTTGACCTAATTGTCCTTTCGCCTAAGTGAGAAGGTGTCTCATTTAGGCGAGAAGAGGTATCGTCCAGGCGGTAAGAGCTCTTGCCCAGGTGGCCTCACAGGAAAAATAGAGTGCTCTTTGGACCCATTCTTACTTAAGCAAGATGTTGCTCACCCAAGCGAGAGTGTTTCTCGCTCAAGCGAGAATAGCAAAAAATTGAGTAGTTTTACTATCTAGTTTTCTCGCCTAGGCGAGAAAGATCTCACCCAAGCAAGGGCAGAGCTCACTTAAGCGAGAACGCACGGGTTTGGAGGGTTATTTAAGGAACTCTAGCTGTAAAAACATTCATTTTCTCACTAGACAGCCTTTTGTCCTCGTTTCTCTTTGTTCTCTCTCCTTCTCCTCTCAAGAGAAAACTCTTCTGAACTTTGAATCTCTTTTAGATTCGAGCTCAAACATCTATTTCATTTGGAACCAAGTAAGTTTTTCGGAGCTTAGATCTCCAAATTTATCCCTTTCCTTTGATTTTCGTTTTCTCAATAGGTGTTTACCTTGTAATATTTAGGGAGATCCTTATATTTTGGACAAAACCTTCCATAGGGAGTGTTGTACCTTTCCTTTGGATCCCAAGAAGGAGTTGATCATAGAGACTCATTTTCAGGTAACGAGAGTAAATCCCGAACCCTAACTCCTATTTTGTATTTTGGCAATATTCTTGTTTTGAATAGTAAAGCCTTTATATTTATTAAGATCTCAGTGCTAAAATGGGATTTGTGGAGCATGAAAACCTGATGATCTATTTCTAAAAACACTTATATAAGATTTTTTATAGCAGAAATT